AGTGTGCAAAGGTATGCTTTTATGGATCAGTTCCAAAAATAAATTTCAAGAAAAACAAAAGTTAACCTAAGTTTTTATTGTCCATTTTCAGAGCACTCTATTGACTTCCTGTTGCTCTGATTTTCTTGTTCCTGAGTTCATTTTCTTTCTGTCCTTCATGAAACATGGAAAAAAAAGCAAACAAGTTCAGGAGAAAGGAAAAATAAATTGAATAAAATTAGGGAAATTCACAGTGTTCATGAAGTAATCAGCCAAATGACTGTAGGAAGCAAAATCTTCCTTTATTGCCGAGCACAGTGACTGAAATAAAAACAAACAATGGAATAGAGTGTGTTAGCGATATGGCTCCATGTAAGGGACATTTCACTGCACCACGAACAACCCTCCTACAGTTCATCACTGTCGCACACTACTGCTGAGAGTCTAGGTCCGTTCACTTGTGAACACCGCTTCCTCCTTCCCATACAATAGAATTCGGAAACAAACGTGGGACTCCTACGTAGCTCCTTATATTCCCATCAGTTATTTCACTCCGTCAACATCCTCAAAATTTGTTCCCAAGTTCTTTCTCTATTATTGAGCTATTAGTAGCATTAATACATTTTTGCCTTCCTCTCCTATTATTTTTAAATTTTATTTTTAATCCTCTTTATTACCTTAGACTCAACGATTAAATCATCTAAAAGACAGGGTTTCTCTGATGTTTGGCCCTAATCTATGACTTCTGAATTTATGTATCTTTATTTTTCATTGTTCTCCTTTATATATTGTTGCTCACTTTTATCCTTTAAACACTAGCTTGCTGTCTTCGGTGGTGCACTTATTAGGCATCACTGATCTCCGATATTCTGTATATTATTACTTGGGAAGCATTTACCCCTTTCACCTTTCAAAGCTCCTGAGGGAGAGTTGTCCACACAGTAGATTAGACCTTTGAAGAACACCTGGGCACCACAGCATACACGTCTGGAATCCCAGCACTCAGGAGGCTGAAGCAGAAGGATCACAAGTTGCAGTTCAGCCTGGGCAACTTGACAAGATCCTATCTCAAAATAAAAAATAAAAAAGGGTGGGGTATGCGTGCAATCCCAGCACTGGGAAGGCTGAGGCAGAGGAATTTCCAATTATTCAAGGCTACTCTGGGCTATGTAGTGAGTTCAAAGCCAGCCTAGACTATGTAGTGAGTTCAAGGCCAGCCTGCACTACAAAATGAGACCCTGTCTCACCAAACCAAAAAAGAAAGGGAAAGGAAGCAGGGCATGTAGTACAGTGTGAAGGCTGTTGAATGCTCCTCTAAGCCTGAAAGGAAAGGGACAGGAAGTGCTTTCTGGAATCCAGGAGTGAGTCACACAGAAGAGGCCACACAAAGGAAACAAGGGAGGAGAAAGCCTTTCCAAGTTGACACTGAAATAAGCTCCCAGGGAGCATCTCTACCATCATCCATGTCTCACTGTTGGGTCCACCCAACTGGATGCCAAGGACAAAAGAGTCCATACTGCACAAAAGTTCTAGGGGTGTGAGAGCTGGGAGACAAAAGCCACAGCCTTGGAGACGGCTGACATCCTCCACATTCCCATTCCAGCAGCCTCCTTCTCCTGTGTGGGCCAGTTTTACCCAGGCGCCCAAGTTGAAAGCCTACTCAGTACCTTTCTTAATAGGATCATTACACCCTCATCTTCCTGCAAATACATTATACCAAACTCCAAACTCCCAGTTCTACACTGTAGTATCTGTGAAGTTCTTTTCATTCTCTCACATTACTGCTATTTTTCTCTTCACTTCGCTCTACAATCTCTCCTGCCTATGGATCCTGCCTACTAGATATGTAGTATATAGTGCTTTCAGAAATTTGTTTGCATCCTTGTTGTTTAAATCTCCAAGACATTTATCCAGAATGCATCTCCCATTCCCAGTACATCGGCTGATGTGTATATGTGCTCAATAAATAAGTGCTGATCAGTTTAACTCAGGCTCTCTATACTTGTTAGCTAAACATTGTAATGCACTTTAAAATAGTTTATTGACATCAGTCTTGACCCTTTCCAGTATGTCATTTGCATTTTTGGTAGCACACTTTTTCACATTCATGAATAGGATATCACTACTTCATTATTTAAAACTACTTTGTGGCTAGTTGTAGCCTTCCAAATGGAGCGCATCACTCACTGAACAATTATTTTTGATGATAGACCATGTGCTAAGTAATAGACCACAGAGGGACCAGTAGACCACATCAGGGTCCTACAGTTTGAAGAGAGAAATGATAATGAAGAGATTACAGAGAGCTGTAGGAGTCTCCCTGGTGAGGCCCTAGAAGGCACAGAGACAGGAGCTCCAGGGCCTGGTCAGGGCAGAAGAGCATGTGAAGAAAGACAGTGAATGGTGAGGGGCGAACAGGCCATGTCTCGAGGAGGGGTCCACAGGCACCCTGCACTGGCGTTAGCCTGGTCTTTAAGGACCCGCAGTGATTCAGTCCTCATGTCTGCCCACTTTGTGCTCTGCACTGTCTCAGTTAGCACTACCCCTGTGGCATAGTGCGGGTTAGTGTTCACTCAGTGCTCCACGCTGAGCCCTCTCCTGTCCGTGCTCCTCTTTACCCCTGCTGGACCAAGAGATGAGAGTCTGTTGCTCAGGGAGGCCAGCTATTGCTCCTTCTGTCCTCCTTTGCTCTGTTCAGCACAAACACATTTCTCAAAGCAAGAGGACTTCTTTCCTCGGTTTTCCAGAGAAGATCTTACACCTCCCAGACACCACAAGTGCAGCGTGGGCGGCGCTGGTCTGGAGGTAGGGTTAGGGTTAGGTGTGCCCCTCTGTCTCACCCCCACAGCCTCTCAAAGGTGGAGAATTCCTCAGGGGTGCCCAGGACCCACACGCTATTTCTTCTCTGTTGTAGAAGGTAAAGGACAGCTTTTGGCCGCTCTTGAGTACAAAGAGCCAAAAGTAAGCTTCCAGGTGAATTTAATTCTCGACAAATTAAACTCCAATGTAGTGAGCGTAAACATTAATGGAAATGAGAGCAAAAAGGTGGAACGTACTTGATTTTAACTGTAAATTTGTCAATGATTATTAGTATGGTAGGCTCAAGTTACTGACCATTTATGCGTTTGTGCTACTACAGATAATAGAAGCATATTCTGAGCAATTGGTACTGATAGGATTGCAGACAGTTGAATATTTAGATAGATAGATGGATATGTTTTATGTACTACATGCATATATGGATTATATAATTATACATAGATAATTTAGCTAATGAATATTTTTTGCACAATTTTTGAATTACAATTATATTTTGAAGTCAAACCAGGCCAAAAGTAACAGGTTGGAAACAATATAAAAACTAGCAAATAAGTTGTTACTTTATCTTTATACAAGTTCACAATATTTACCACAGAAAAATTCAGTTGATAAATCGCATGTATCATTACTAAAATGTACACTGACTTTCCTCAGTTAATGTAGTTTTTATTATTATGAATATGAAAACATCAAATTAAAAATGAAAAATTCAGCAATATTCAAATTACAAAAACCCAGTGATGTCATTTTTGATTATTAAAACTCATCATCTAACCAAACATATTTAGGAACTTGAGGTCAATGTTAATCATATAGCTAATGATTTGAAAATAGGTAAGAATACGAAAATAACATACGGAAGATATTTCTTACTAACATTTCTATTTATAAAAGTTAATTGAAGCCTACAAAACTAATTTTAAAAAACCTTCTAACTACAATGTCAGATTATGATGCAAGTAGGTATTATATGCATTCATACTCACCATGAGAAACACTGTAACTCTGGATAACATGTTTGCCTTCAAGTGAAGCTTCAGTTCTCTTCTAGTGTTATAAAAGATCCTCTATGTTTATTTACTGGAATGTTTCTTAAGAAGAACAATGAGTTTACGATCATCATGCCACATTACCATACCTCATATTATTATATTTAATGACCTAATATCATAAAATCTACCCTACACATTTCCTCATTAGTGATGCCTGGGATACCACATTGACTGGCTAAAATCCTTGCTTTAAAAAAGTGATACGGAACAATCCATGACTCTTTTTTTTTTATTATTTTATTTTAAAGATAAAAGGAGGGAAACATTAACAGACATACAACATTTTACAACATATCACAAGCACAATACAGACAATACAGAGTTACAAACAAAGTGGTAGGGAATTAACAATGGTGGTTGTATTACATACTGATATCTTCAAAGTGGCTTCTCATGAAAACAGATATAGACATGCAATACTGGTCAACCAAAGACTCATTGACAGTTTCTTTCAGCATAGAAATAGAAGACAGAAGAACAACCATGTTATCTATCCTGTATATACATACATACAAAATTTCTCCTTCTTTCCCTTCTCTTTTCCCACATCCCAGAAGCCCTTTACTCTTCAGTGGTTTCCTATCATTTCACAGTGTCTATCATACCTCCGAGTTTAAATTAACTCTTTCAAGTTTTACACTAGTGACACAATGCGGTGCTTGCACATGTATGTTTGATTTATTTCACTTATGAGTATGGTCTCTAGTTGTGACCATTTAAATATAAAGGCCTCGAGTTTATCTTTCTTTACAGCTGAGTAATATTCCATTATATAAAAGTACCATAATTTTCTTATCCAATCCTCGGTGGATGGACATTTGGGTTGCTTCCACATTTTAGCAATTACAAATTGTGCTGCTATGAACATAGGTGCACATATATCACTGTGATATGATGTTTTTAGATCTTCTGGGAAAATACCCAGTAGGGGGATACTGGGTTGAATGGGACCTCTAAATCTAGTTTTCGGAGGAATCTCCAAACTGATTTCCACAGTGGTTTCACCAGTCTGCATTCCCACCAGCAGTGGAGAAGGGTTCCTATTTCTCCACAGCCTCGCCAGCATTTGTTATTGGTTGATTTCTTAATGCTAGCCATTCTTACTGGGGTAAGGTGGAATCTTAGTGTTGTTTTAATTTGGATGTGACCTTTCACAATAACATCCAAGAAATTGAAATATTTAGGAATCCATCTAACAATCCATGACTCTTAGTGAATGATGATTCCTCCAGGTATTTGGATTCGTGGTGGATCCCTTGTTTGACTTGGAATTCTGGAGATTCTATATAAAAGCAAAAGTTAATAATATGTTATTTCAGGAGCTGGGGATTTAGCTCAGCGGCACAGCACCTGCCTGGCAAGCGCAAGGTCATGAGTTCGATTCCCAGTACCGGGAAAAAAAAAAAAAATAATAATATGTTATTTCAAGTAAAGATATTTTCTTTAACTGTGTAACTTTTAAAAGTATATAAATCTGAATGCCCTTGGGCGAAGCATGTGGTAATCACGTGCTGGAATCCTTGCTGCTGCAGACACCTCTCACTTCTGTCCTTCCCTGTGTCTGCCTGTCTGTCAAGGTTTGGAAGTCTTAGATTGTGTCTTGAGGAGCATATGTGTGCGTATGCTGCCTCAGCCTTTGCTGGGGTCAGCTGTTAGGAGATAAATGTCTGATTGTGCTGTTTCTATTCCCAAGCTGACTACCATAGTTTATGTGCATGTCTATACTTATGTATGTGTACACATACACAGTTCTGGTCATAATCCAAGGTGAACAAGAACCAAATCAAATTCACTGATTAGGTTCAGTGTTGACCTTCTGGGGAAAATTGTTTCAGTTTTTGTCTAGTTTGATTTGCAATCAGAATCATGAAGAAAATTGAGTTCATGAACCAAGGTACCACTGTACATAATGACTAATAAAATGAATATTGTATATATTTAAATCTGAGATTTAAAAACAATTAAAGGCAAATGAGCACAATCTATCCATTTGTCAATACTAAATAAGTTAAAATATTTTAAATCTCAGAAACTTAGAAATCTGGAAATTAGCATATCTCAAATCTTAAAGCCTCACATACATGCAGCAGTATCACTACCTCCCAGCAAGGCAGGCAGCCAAGAGGGAGGACGGGGAGAGGGGAAATGAATGTCAGGCAATGGCGAGGTGTTCCTCGGGGTGTGCTGCAGCCCCTGCTCAGTACACCCATGGGTACGTGTGTGCTACAGCTTCACAAACATCCACTGGTGCATAAAATATTAGGGTGGAGAATAAACCTTCAGGTAAATATAAATTGTGTGAAGGATACAACAGGCCATGTGTGTGAGTTTATCAGCCCTCCAAATAAGTTGAGTAAAGAATACAGCAAAATTCACCTTGGATTTTATAGGAAAATAAAGAAGAAAGACTGGTAGATAAGAGTTTAATTGGAAGGAACACAGAATGCACGTGTGCTTGAAAACTGCAACAGAAAACATCCCTCTGATCACATTTCTCTTACGCATGAACAGGGAGCGCAGTATTTCCATGGAGCCCTCCAACATGGAGGTTGATTTAGCACGGCTTCCAGCAGATTTCAAGCCCAGGTCAACTGTGAGCTAAGCTCCAGTGAAATGAGTTTGAATGCAGTGAAGTGTTGCCTTCCCAGCCCTTCCCCTCTGAGTTCTATCCAGTTACCTCAGTTTGAGCATAACCAGGAGAAGGACTCCACAGGTGACTGTCATGCACATGACAGCATAGATTACTTCTCCTAGGAAAAGAAGATTTTTAAAAAGATCACTGGAGTTTTAGAGGGAAAAAGTAATAGAAGTGTTATAGAGAACTGACTTTGAACTGACCATTGACGCGAGAATGGAATCCAGTTAGAGTAATTTCCTTTGCATGTTTTCTGTTATAAAATGGAATGCCTTTGACATTAGACAGGATTGGATAATCTGAAAAACATGATAAAAAGGAGATGAAATTATGGAAATGTTACATGTTATTTTCATCTCTTGGGTGATTTGTTTAATACCATAACAGGGATTTATTTCTATGACACTATTTTAATATGATAAATATTCATGAAAGCAAGAAAACCCTTACATTTTAACAGCTTGTTTCCTCTCTTAATGATGCAATTTCCTTACAGAAACCACTTTTAAACCATGATTAGTAAAAGATGTAAGATATTTTATAAGATAACTCACTGTACCTTACATATAGACTATGAAAACAAGATGTAGTTATGATAAGCTACCTATTAAGATACTGGGAAATTTTCCTCCTTTTTAGGAGTGCTTGTTCTCACATGCCTCTGAGGATCTCTCATTTCCCTATGACCTACTGTCTTGAGTGAGTTCCCATGAAGCAGAATCCCTGAGCCAAACGCTACACACGGTAAAGCTTGGATTTACTTACTTCCTGCGGCTCCATCTCCCTTTGGCTCCATCTCCCTTTGGCCCCTTCACCAGCCAGACCTTCCTCTCTACTGTTAAAACCTAACTGCTTCACAGATAACAACACATGGCCTATTAACTATTATTATTCTCTTATTATTTTGCTGTGAAATTTGGTTTTATTTTCTCACAAAATAAAAAAAGCAAAAAACAAAACAAAACCTATCCTCTGTCTCTCAGAGCAGTGAGTCCTAATCATCCCGAGGCTCATGTCTTCCTGCCCATGTCTCTGCAGACTTCAGTATTTCCCTAACTCTAAAATCTTTCTTCCTACTGGTCAGGTCTTAAAAAGAAATCTTTCCTGTGGGTATGTGTTCTTTGCTCTGCCTTTTCTAATTTAAGGAAAAAATGATATAATCTTAAAAAATAATTAGTAGATTAATTTTGGTTGATTTTTATAAGGGAAATCATCCCTAGTTTTGACTCGATCTACCACAAATCCAAATACAAAGCATAACCAATATCCCAATAAGCAATTTCTTTCATGATGATGATGGTTCTCACTACTTTGGAGGCATTAACAAAACAAAGAAAAACATAGGGCAATCTTCCACTTGAGAGAGGCTTTGCTGTTTAAATGTTTCATGAGTTTGGTGGCCTGGAAATTTAGACATCTGTGCACAGCTGTTACAGTAATGAGCACACTGAGTGCCACGCTTTAGATTTAGAAGCTCCCGAGGGGCCTCCAGGCTTGCAGACAGGGCTTTGGGAAGGTGACGAAACTAAGGGTACAAAGAGCTGACTTGCTAGTCAAGGTGCTTCCTGGTAGGAGGCGGGTCACTGGAGGTGCAACCTGAAAGGCTGTGTGTACCTCCTAGGCCTCTTGCTTCTCTCTGCTTCTTGGTTGCCATGATTTTAGTGGATTTTTCTCTGCTGTGTCCCTCTGCCATGCCATTCTGCCTTGGAGAAAGCGCACTATGGACCACAACCACAAGCCAAAATAAACCTCACCTTTAAGTTGTGGGTGTCAGGTAGTTGTTCCAGCTACGAGAAAAGTGAGTGAGATATCAAGCATCAGGATATTATTTCTGGCAACAACAGGCTGTGAACAGGAAGAGAGAGGGGAAGATACAGTCCCAAAGGTCCGCTCCAGTCCTCTCTCTACCACAGGTGCTGTTGGGCACAAACCCACTTCTAGGACTCTGGGAAATTACGGTTTGAGCTTTAGGTTAAGAATACTCAGTAGCCAGACTAGAGTTTCAGTAGCAAAACTTTCAGGTGGGCTGTCCAGAAGTACCCCAAGACAAGAACTAGAAAAGTAACAGTGGTTGTTAGACAACTTGGGGCTGCCGATACAGCTCCACAGTTAGGGAGCTTGCGGTGAACTAAAACAGTTCAAACATTTTCAGCTTCAAATTTTTTATCTCCCAAGTTGCATAATAAATTACTATCATATATTTGAGAAACTTCTTCTTAGGAACTGGAAAATCAAACTCTTTAGAATATAAAAGTATGGGGGGGGCTGAGGTATAAGTATTGCAAGTTTAAGCCCAACTTGGGGAATTCAGTGACTTAAAATAAAAAATAAAATGGACTGGGGATGTAGCTCAGTGTAGCAGCTCTGGGTTCAATCCCTAGCACCAAATAAAATAAGTAAATAAATAAATAGAGTTGAGCTCAGGAATTTTTTTCACTTTTTTCCACTCTAAGGTTAGAATGGAAATAGTGAGCAATTTCGAGTAATACTGTTTCTTACGATGGCCTTTTTTTTGAAGAATTAATTTTAATCTTGTCAAATATATATTCTTTCTGAAATATATTATAATAAAAAACCATATTTAAGATAATCCAGAGCATGAAGTTTTGTTTATCTTTAAAGTATATTATATTTCGTGAAGTTTTAAGCAGATTCATGACCTAACTATATACCTAACTATATAATCTAACTAATTATTTAATATATATAATACATATAAGCTGACTAATTATTCAAATGATATTATAAATTTCCTTTCTGAAATTCTCTCCCTAAGTACATTAGCCTGATTAATATTACAATTTGATTCATCTGTCCATTAAAAAGTATTAAAAACAAATTAGGTTTATCTTTTTCATATAAAATTGTCTTCAATAATTGTTAAATATTCACCTAGAAAAGTTTAGAAAGCATCATCTCATTCACTAGATTTAACCCACATGGAACTCATTAACAAAGTCATAATAGATCAATGCCAAGAATACTATTAACGATCCCAGTGAAAACTCGAATGTGCCTAGCAATCACTCCACAATCTTAAATATTGCACCCTAGGAGAACACCAAATATCAGTTAGTGAGATTAATATTACTAGACATTTTCTGGCTACTGAAGCCCATTGGAGATTCTCCCCTTCCTTTTATAAATAGTAAGGTTTACAGTGCTTTATAGCCATGAAATTAAAGTCGGCAGTTGATAACTAACCTCAGTCCCACACCATCTGCTGTATTTATAGATAAACATGCCAGTGACTTATTTATCTTGAGTTATGTCCTAGAAGAATTAAACCCTATTACAAACTATATTATAAAATCCCTGTGCACTTTATGGGAAATCAAGATTAATTTCAACCTTGCTTTAAGAACAAATTTGAATAGTTTCTCCCTAAATGAGCTAAAAAATTGTCAACATTTCAAGTTATTTTTTCTTTTAAGATTCTTGTTCAACAGTGATTGAAAGCTGAAAAAGACTTCAATTCTGCTTTCTATAATTTATTTGGAATGATAAATGCACTATAAAAGTTACACTGCATAAGATAAAAACATTAAAAATGAATGTCAAAATTTATGAAATGTGATCATCTGGAATTAAACAGTAGATTTGTAGGCCTTCGTTTCACTTTAATTGAAACATAACAGGAGGAGCCAACTTGGAAAACAAAATTGCTTCGATCTAAAATTAGGAAAACTGGGGCTGGGGATTTAGCTTAGTGGCACAGCGCCTGCCTGGCAAGCGCAAGGCCGTGAGTTTGATTCCTGGTACCGGAAGAAAAACAAACAAACAAACAAACAAAAAAAATAAAATGAGGAAAACTGTATTCCCAGAATCGAGCAGTAATTCTTATCTTTTATTATACTATGCAAGCACTAGGAAGCTTACAATAACATAGGGAAAATGTAAGATAAGGAGAGGAATAGTTGTAGGATAAGGAGAGGAATAGTTTCTACTGTATTCATAACTTTCATAATTTTGCGTTTCACATATGGAAGTTCTTAAGGTATGAAAGTTTTCAGTAAAATAGTATAATGGTGACAGTATCACTTCTTTTGCAGATAGGTTTCTGCTATCTTTCTTTGAAACTGAAAGTCTCACTAACAGTTACCCTTTTGGACATGTGTATGATTTTACCTTGGTGAATCGTATCATTGTTTTTGAGTGGCTGAGTACTGGAGAATGAAAATAAGGAAAAAAAATAAATTTAGACATCCTGGAAAGTCTTCACAGTCCCGTGGAGTCAGGGGATGTTGCAGAGAGTTTTGTAAGTTATTGCACTTTTAAATGGGGAAAATATAAATAAAGCAGTATTTCTTTCTTATGAGTAGATTTACAGGTCTGCGGGAAACCGGAAGTGAACGTAGGACCTGTGCTGCTCGTTCCCCTTATTCAGCAGCCTCCTTGACAGCCAACACCGAGTCTAACTTACAGTGGAATTAGCCTGTCGTTGTGCCCCGTGCCTGCAGTTTCCAGTGGCCGAACAGCGTGCAGCGTCACATTTCTCCAATGGCACGTGCGTTACCGTGCAGCATCTGATTATATTTACTTAGTTTTATTTTTAACAGACATTAGTCAGGCATCTTCACATAAATCACTATTTTTCACCCTTTCTAAGATGTAAATCCAGTCTCCCCGGAGCAATGCACAGGCTTACTCAAGCAATGAAAATTCGTGAAGCAATGTCCTTCGCTGGAGATTAATTCTAATTTGTATACTGATAGGCACAAAGCAAGCATCCTGGCCACTGGGTCAGAGACATCTAAGAAAAGCAAAGAATTTGGAGGATTTCTTTGCGTTTCTCTTTTTGTATTGAAAACTGAGACTAGTAATTGCTAAACTAGCAAGACTGTTTTAAAGATTCTTCGCTATTTAATTCTTTATTATTAAAATTGATATCTGCCTAACAGTTCTTGGGGGCCTCCGGGGGAAAGTGCACAATGAGAGTGAGAACGGAAATGAACGCGAGGATGAAAGGAAGGAGTCACTGCGCTTGCGAGTGCCTTTCCTCCTTCACTTCCTTCTCCCCTTTCCTTCCTTTCCTCCATTTTTCCGACCTTTCTTTGAGTTGTGAGCACTTAACTGTCGACAAACACTGGAGGCAGAAAGGCATCTGCGCGTGCTTTCTCAGTATTTTATACCCCCCGTTTCTTGCACTTTGTCACTCCCAAAGACCGCGTTCCGGATGATGTCTGAGATCACAGCCTGATACACCCCCTTCCCTGGCGTCCTCACTGCCTGCGCTGCCCTCGCAGAGGACCCCGCCCTGCTCCGCAGAGGGCCAGCACCACAGCAGTGTTTAGTGATC